CCATAGGCAGATACCATACTCACCAGACATATTAGTGAAATCTGATTTTGACAAAAGGTACTGTGCTATAAGGAATTATGAAAAGTTATAATGGCCTACCCTGGCATCCACCTCCACCTGTTCTATTTCTGATTTCTGTTATTCTGTTATTCACAAACCAACATGACTATCTCCTTCTTCATTACTCATGCCAAAATTTGCTAACCTGATATTGGAAACCATTATATCTGGTATGAAAAGTGACCAACAACAACGACAAAGAAAAGTGACCAACAACACTTGGTGCCATCTGAACTCCAATTACCAATAACTCTGGGATGGGTATGGGCCAACATAGTGATAATGAGAAACACTTCCCACTTTAGGAATGCTCTAATTGACAATGGCACATTATTTGGGCTGAACCATCTATGACCTGGCTGGTCCATAATAGCGAAGTGTAAATAGATTAGATGTCTAGGAAATCACCCATGAGTTCCCCAACTCACATCCTATCTATTGCTACTTCTTCAGTGTTTCGTTTCCTCTTTCAGACACCATACTCTTGGGTCTGGTAGATTGCTTTTTGGCTTTACTGTACATGACAGCCCTTTGGGTTCCATATTTTGTATTTCACCACGTCTACATAGGTTAGAATTTACCTGCTCCTTTAGTTTCACAATCTCCTATTGACTCTACCAGAGGCCACTCAATCTATGGATTTCAGCACTCCCACACCCCTGTAACCAAGTATGGTCCTTAGGAAAAGGGACTGAGAAGACTTTTAATACAATAATGGAAATATTTTTCAGAACTGGATGAAATAGCCTTTTGAAACAAAATTGAAAATTATCTTTTTTTTTTTTTTAGACAGAGCCTCAAGCTATCCCCCTGGGTAGAGTGCCATGGCATCACAGCTCACAGCAACCTCCAACTCCTGGGCTCAAGCTAGTCTCCTGCCTCACCCTCCCAAGTAGCTGGGACTACAGGCACCCACCACAATGCCCGGCCATTTTTTGGTTGCAGCTATCATTGTTGTTTTGGCGGGCCCGGGCTGGGGATTCGAACCGCCACCTTTAGGTGTATGTGGCTTGCGCCTTAGCCGCTTGAGCCACAGGCGCCGAGCCGAAAATTATCTTAATATATAGTAACCTTATAGGTAGATTGTTGTATCAATAAATGAATTTGGCATGGTTTTATGAAAAGATAGGTTTTTAAATTATCTGACAGTCCTGCATAAACTTTGGAAGGTGCATTGCTTGGCTAAAGTCCCAGGACATAACAAGTTTTTTTGGCTAAGAAAAGTTTAGAGCCAGACTAGAATGTGTGGTTTTCCCCACTGTAGATAGAGGTAAGGAGGTAGCCTAGAGCCAGACATATGGCAGAGATGACCCTAAAATGGTATCATTTTACAAGATACTGGTAGTGAGTTTTTGTTTTGTTTCCTTTTGTTTTTAGAGGGAAGGAGAGAGAGATGGCAGAGAGAGGGAATGTTGACTAAGAGATAATAGGATAGTTAAAGCATACTTTCTTTGAGCCTTATTACTTAAACATAATGGAAAATAGTCTGGGTGGCACCCATAGCTCAGTGGGTAGGGCACCAGCCACATACACCGGGACTGGCAGGTCCAAAACTGGCCCCAGCCTGCTAAACAACCACAACTGCAACAAAAAAACAGCCAGGTGTTGTGGTGGGCACCTGTCGTCCCAGCCACTGAGAGGGAAGAGAATCACTTAAACCCAAGAGTTTGAGGTTGCTGTGAGCTGTGATGCCATGGTACTCTACCCAGGGCGACAGCTTGAGACTGTCTCAAAAAAAAAAAAGGCTTGACACCTGTAGCTCAGCAGGTAGGGTGCCAGCCACATACACTGGAGCTAGTGGCTTTGAACCCAGCCTGGGCCTACTGGGCAATGACAAGTACAACTTAACCAGATATTGTGGGGCACCTGTAGTCCCAGCTACTTGGGAGGCTGAGGCAAGAGAATGGCTTAAGTCCAAGAGTTTGAGATTGCTGTGAGCTGTGATGCCACAGTACTCTACCCAGAGTGACATAGTGAGACTCTATCTCAAAAAAAAAAAAAAAGAAAAGAAAAGAAAAGAGTCTGTCTTCAACAGACAAAATGCTCCAAATTTTCTATATTGCCAGGAGCTTAGTTGCATTTTCCAACTGAAATAATGTTCAGCAGGGGGTGGCGCCTGTGGCTCAGGGAGTAGGGCACTGGTCCTATACACGGAGGGTGGCAGGTTAGAACCTGGTCCCAGCCAAAACTGTAACAACAAAAAATAATAATAAAAAAAGAGTAGGGTGGCACCTGTGGCTCAAGGAGTAGGGTGCTGGCCTCATATACTGAAAGTGGTGGGTTCAAACCTGGTCCCAGCCAAAAACTGCAAAAAAAAAAAAAAAAAAAAAAAAAGAGGGTGGTGCCTGTGGCTCAAAGGAGTAGGGCGCCAGCCACATATACCAGAGGTGGCGGGTTCAAACCCAGCCCTGGCCAAAAACTGCAAGAAAAAAAAAAAAGAGTAAAGACTAAATACAACTTTCTTGGGCGGCACCTGTGGCTCAGTGGGTAGGGTGCCAGCCCCATATACCAAGGGTGGCAGATTTGAACCCAGCCCCAGCCAAACTGCAACAAAAAAAATAGCCAGGCATTGTGGCGGGTGCCTGTAGTCCCAGCTAATCGGGAAGCTGAGGCAAGAGAATTGCCTAAACCCAATAGCTGGAGGTTGCTGTGAGCTGTGATGCCACAGCACTCTACTGAGGGTGACAACATGAGACTCTGTCTCTTAAAAGAATAATAATAATAATGTTCAGCAGGGTTTTATGAGTTGACATTCATAAATAAAAATCCTTTATGGGTATTTTTATGCAAAAAGTTTTAGTTCCACTGTGGATAGCAGGAACACATCTCAAATATAAAATAATAACATCAGATAACATAAGAGTTAGAGGCAGAGTAGTTTGATGGGGAGAGAACTAGTGAGGCACTAAGCCATCCCTCTATGAGACAGCAACATGTAAATCCCCATTACAAGTAGCATTTTATAGACAACCTCCCTAGTTCCCATAAAAATAATTTCATTCACACAATGCTATAAATGAAGTTTCAGAGGTTCTTCTGTTTTATGAAAGAAAATGTAATTAAGACCATTTCTAGGGGTGGCTTTAATACCATAAATCCTTTGGTATTAGGTAAGAGCCTATATGCCATGAAAAGTCATTCATTTTATCATTTTGTACCTTATTTTGAAATTATATTTGTCATTTACAAATTTGGTAGTAGGATTTGACACATTGAATTAAATAATCCATGGTATAATCAAAACACACACTTAAAAACAAGTAGCATTTTACTAATATTCTAGTAATATTAGAGATGTTTTATGATTTTTATGTTTATAATTTTCTATAAACAGATACTCTTTTTTATTTACTTGGCTTATTTTTTCCATAGATATGCATTTCTAATTGTATAAGGCAAATTAATGAATAGAAAGTCTCACGGGAATGCACTTATATTAAGAAATGTCTGTACAAGAAAAAGAATATATCAGGGAATGTATAGATTACTACATAGTGTTATTACTGTTTGAAGAAATAAGCAAGCTGGTAAATTCTATACTGAAAATACATTACTCTTAGCCCCATATTTATAGTAATTGTTCCTAAGATTTTAAAAGCAACAAGTATCAGATAAATGTCTTTGTCATTTTATTTATTTTAAAAAAGGAGTCTTCATAAAAAGAATTCCTTTTAAATTCTTTAATTAGGTATGAATTTTATATCCAACTTGAGTACCTCTCTTTTTGCCCCCCATAATTCAGGAACATTTAAGTGGCACTATTTTGTAACTATCAGAGTTAGGTGTAAGAATGCAGGTGGATCAAAAGGAGTGAGTGTGGTAGGGAACAAATGACTAGGGCAGGGGTCCTCAAACTTTTTAAACAGGAGGCCAGTTCACTGTCCCTCAAACCACTGGAGGGCTGGACTGCAGGCCCCAGGACAAGTTGGCTGCTAAGCAGGACAGGTAGTGGCAGCAAAAATACCTGATGGGCCAGATAAATGTCCTTGGTGGGCTGCATGTGGCCCGTGGGCCATAGTTTGAGGACGCCTGTACTAGGGTGTACCTTTGAAGAATTGGTAGTATTATTACAGAGAAAGCTATTTCCTTTTTTTTTTTTTTTTTTGAGACAGAGTCTGAAGCTGTCACCCTCAGTAGAATGCCATGGCCTCACAGCTTACAGCAACCTCAAACTCTTGGGCTTAAGTGATTTTCCTGCTTCAGCCTCCCAAGTAGCTGGGACTACAGGTACCCGCCACAATGCCTGGCTATTTTTGCTGCTGTTGTTGTCATTGTTGTTTTAGCTGGCCTAGGCCAAGTTCAAACCTGCCTGCCTTGTTGTATGTGGCTGGTGCCCTACCCACTGAGCTACGGTCACCGCCAAGAAGGCTATTTCTTTTCTTTATTAAATCATAGCTGTGTACATTAATGCAATCATGGGGTACAATGTGCTGGTTTTATATATAATTTGAAATATTTTCATCAAACTGGTTAACATAGCCAAGAAGACTATTTCTTAAGGACAGGGTTACAACAGAGTATGATAAACACAAGGGAAGGTGCTTGTAGGAATGGCTGTGTGAGCTGCAAAGAACTTGCCTAAGGGACCGGCAGACATACAGTAAAGGGGCCATTTGAACTAAATTCTTCAGAAGTCAAGATTTAGCCACATCTAGACTCAAAATCCTTTCTAAAGTAAAATGTTAACTAAAGCTCTTTTCCACAATTGGTCTGATTAGATCATCCACCTAAACTTCTTAAATGCCTTCTGGATCATCACATCCACTGACTGTCTTCTCCTCTATGTTACCGCATTGTGACTTCATGCATTCCACGGGTATTCCACATGGCTATGTAGCAATCGGAGGAAGGGCAGAAGTGAGGATAGAGAACCTTGCTCAGGGATGGGCTATATAGGCAGGCCCCTTACAGTTACATTATGCTTTGCCCCCACTTCCCCCCTATAACATGGGAGAGTCTTTCCTTCTAGGATTTAGTGGCTCAACAGGTTTGGGAGGATTTGGGAAGGGGAGGCTTCCTTGAGCTTTATTGCTAGGAGAAGACAGGAAATTTAGCAGGTCAAACGGCAGAGGTAAAACCACAGTGGAAGGTTTCTCTGTGGACAAAGACTGCAGGGTGTGGAGGTATCGAAGCTGAACAGCCGCTGGAGTGCCTGATAGAATCTCAGCTGCCATTCTCAGGGACTCGGAGGCAGCCTTTTCCCCTTCTGCAGCGATCATCTAGAAAACAGATGTGGAGAAAAGCAAAGCGTTCTTCATTCCATGAATGTTTTAATTACTATTCAGTGTGATTCAACAAATACGCTTTGAGCATCTACTATGTGGCAGGCACTGCTGAGCATGGAACAAGTTCAGCCTTTTTCTGAAGGACACTGAGCTAGAGAGACAGATTAAACCACTAATCATAACTTAAGATAGAAGTTGTTAAGGGCCATAAATCAAGTGTTAGGGGACTTACTAATAATGCCTGATGGGCCTTTGAAGGATTAGTAGGATTTTGCCAATACAGAGAAAAAACTGACCAGCATTCCAGGTAAAAGCATGGAATTAACAAAGGGTGACTCCCACTTTGGGTAAAATGAATGGGTAAGCACTTCAGAAGAGAATGTGCCAGACTTATCACCAAAATGCCACCCAAAAGTGGGCAAAGAGGACTAGGCTCAGAGATCTAAAAGCAAATCTTCCTTTGGAACTACCTTTCTCCCTCCCGTCTTCTGCCTCTCCCCTCAATGCCCCAAAGTTATTGATCCTTTCATAGGATTAGTGTTTCTTCCTCACCTGTTCTTTGAGAGAAGTCTGCCTCCCTTCATTTCTCATTTTCCTCTTCTCAATACCCCACCCACCAACTCCTCAATCATGAGAAGCTGCTGGCAGCCAGGTCTTTCTTCTTGCTGGCACGCCTGAGTAGGTGCTCTGAGTAGCACAGCCTTGTCTCTGGCATGGAGGGGATGAGGCCCAGATCATGGCTGTCCCTCGAACCTTTCACTGAGCTAGAGATCTAGTTCTGGGCTAACCTAGAAGTTATGAACCTAGAGATGATAGATGACTCAGATGATTATGCAGGGAAAGATGCTGGCACTAGGGAAAAAAAGCTGCTGTTTGGGGAACAGATGCCTTTAGGGAGAGACAATGAAGACAGGACTTAAAAAGGAGGTGGCCACTGTTATCAGCACTGTAGTCAGTTCAGGGGTTATTGATTCACTTTAAGAGAGCAATTTTAATAGAGTAGTAAGGGCACAAGCCAGATTCTGCCCTGTGCCTGGCTGAACAGAAGGTAAAAAAGCGAAGAGAAAATATTCTCCATGAGCAGGCCTTCTTTTGGATTCTCTGGTACTCCTCAAAGAGCGATCTCTGGGGGGAAGGTAAGAGTGCTCAGTGCTGGCTCACCCGCACTTTGGCCTGTCTTTGTGCTTCGGCTTCCACAGCCAGTGAGTGTTGCAGCCCAGCCGGCAGCCTCACATCCTTACTGAAAAAGAGAGAACATGGGCACATGGGTGTGGCACAGCGACATTACAGCCAGGGCTTTCATACAGACTTGCAACTCGCTCTGCTGTTGTCTCATGATGAGTAGCCAATTCTGAGTTAACAGAGTGTGCTATCCCTAGACCCTGATGGTAGGCAGAGAAGAGCGTCTCAAATGTTGATGCCTCAAATGCAAGTTTGTATTACTACTGATGCTACAGTAATAATGCTACTTCTCTCTTTACAAGCACAGCAAATTCTGTGAGTTGTGCTCAGTTTTCCCACAGGGTTTAATCGAAACCCATACTATTCATTTGAAACAATGAAAAACAGCCTTAAAGAGCCATACTATTAATAACAAAAGATAAGAGGAATTCATCTAAGTTTATAAAAGAGAAGACTTGATTTTGAAAAGGGGAGAACTGACCAAAGAACAATACTTAATGCACTGCATGAGAGATTGTCTTTTTACCCTGACAATAACTATGAAAAATGTGTATATGAAAAAATATTTCATAGTTCCTCAAAAAGTTAAATATATTTACCATATGACCCAGTAATTTTACTCCTAGGTATGTACCCAAGAGAATTAAAAAAGTATTCACACACAAAAATTTATAAATGAATGTTCATTGTAGCATTACTCATAATAGTCACAATAGCCCAAAAGTGGAAACAACCCAAACGTCCTCCAACTGATGAATAAACAAAACATCGTGTACCATCCAGTGGAATATTATTCAATCATAAGAAGTAATGAAGTATGGATTCATGCTATGCTATAGATGGACTTTGAAAACATCATGCTAAGTGAAAAGAAGGCAGACACAAAAGGCCACAATAGTGTATGATTCTGTTTATGTGAAATGCCCAAAATAGGGAAATCCATTGAGACAGAAACTAAATAGTGGTTTCTAGGGGCTGAGGACTGACTGGTGCCTGGGGATTCCCACTTACTACAGGCTTCCTTTCAGGGGTTATAAAAATGTCCTGAAATTAGATAGTAGTTTTAGTTGCACTTCTTTGTAAATATAACAAAATGTTTAAAAGGCTGAAGTGGTAAATTTTACATGAATTTTATCTAAAAAATTTTTATAGGTGCATAGAGAAAATAGAGAAAAAAACCACAAGAGTAGTCTGCCCAAATGTTACAGTAGTTGTATTATGGCTATACGATATTAGATAATTTTTTTTCTTTTTCCAAATTTATGCGAATGTGGCTATAATACTCAATGCAAATAATAACTTTTCACATGAAAAATTTTAAATGGAACCAAATATTTCCCTTTATCATACTATTCTTCCCCATTAATTTCCTACCCACATTTCTGTTCTCTCCACTTTGATTCCCCAGATACAGGTCACTGAATCCAAGGCAACCTGTGGATGGAAGGGTTGAGGTATCAGTGACAGCCTCTAGGTGTGAGTAGAGCACGCCTAACTAAGCACTGATAGCCATTGTTCTGTACAAAGAACATTCCCTTTGAAATGACATTATTTGCCTGCTTTGTTTTGTTTAACTTCACAGTGTCACACAAAGAGTTCTTTAACTTGCATAATGCCACTCATTATTATTTTCCAATAATTTCTTAGTGGCTAACTAGAATAGTGCAGCAAGAACACTTAGAAGAATGACTAATTTGGGGGATTGGGGAGAGTAAGGAAAATCAATAAAGACACCACAGGGGAGAGGGTATCTTAAAGGATGAATAAGATTTTGCAAGTGGGGAAAAGGGAAGCATTCCATGTAGAGGAAATAGCCCAGAGGAGGCATGGAAGCATATGTAAAAGTGATAGGTGCTGAAAAATGCTGAGTAGGTTAGGGTCCCAGATCCAGTGGGGGAAGAGTGGCAAGAGGTGAGACTACGACATTTATTGGCATTTATTCTTTCATCCAAAAAACTTTACCTGTCTGCTGTGTAACAAGTCCATGCTGAGAACAAAGAATTGGATAAAATATGGCTCCTGCCATTATGGAGTTTATAATCTGGGAATACTTAACATAAATATTGATGGTTCAAATTATGATTGTTTGACTTTATGATGGCTTTATGAGGGCATTAAGTGCATTTTTGATTAGGAAATTTTTTGCTTTATGGTGGGCTTTTTGTGATGTAGCCTCATTGTAAGTTGAGGAACATCTGGATATATTTTATAATTCAGGGTAACAAAGGCAAGCTTGAATACCAAGCATCTGGACTTTAGAGGCAAGGGAACAAGGAAGAGAGGGTGAAAGGGGGCATCCCATAAAGCAGAATCATTATCAATGCCTTTGATTCTTAGGGTCCCTATAACAGAGGTCCTCCTTCCCTCTAGACATGATCCACAGCCCTCTAGCCCAGTTCTGCACATGGTGCTTCCAGAGCTTCAGTGACAGGCTCCGTTAATGCTGGTGATTGCCACTTGACTGGTCAGCTGCCTGGAATCCTGTTTTCTTCTCACCTCTCTTCTTAATACCTTTTGCCAACTTATCTTGGTAAGAATTAAAGGTACCTACTCTGGCCCACGGATGAGATTGCTAGGCTTGCTGCCTATGGGGCTCATGAGGTGTCTTGCAGGCAGTTCTTGCTCTTCTCCCCTCCTTGAATTCCAAATCAATTAAATGTAAACAATCGATTGGGTAATTAATCATGTAAGGGTCTGGGACATCTTACCTCTTTTATATGAAAGTCATACTCGAACTTGTTATTTAACTTTGCACACATTATGCTTGTTTCCTCAGCTAGAATGTAAATTCCCAGAAACCATGCCTTCTCAGTTCTGTATACCACCAACACCTCCTGTCCATCCCCACCTGCCCCACCACTCCTGTCAACAACCAGGAGCAGAAACTGTGGCAATGATTGACTGACCAGCACCATACTAGTGACTATATTTGACTAAGGGTCAATTTGGCAATCTCCAAACTAGATGTAACTCCCTAAGGGATGGCACGTTGAACAGTGACTACCTGGAACATGGAAGATTTAATAAATGGCCAAAACACAGATGAATAAAAGACATTTCAACATATTCAATATTAAATTTATGTAAGTACCTTTACATCTTGGGCAATGCTCTTCCTCTCTAGAAGGATTTCAGTGAGGGATCGATGTGCTAGGAGACGCTTCATGGTGGTTTGCACAAGGAATTGAACAGCTTTGGACACCTGAGCAAGGCTGCTTAGAAGGAGAGAGGCATTTTCCATTCGGTAGTAGCAAACAGCATCTATCTCCATTATAAACATGTCTTTGGTCACAACCTAGGCAGAAAGCAGTTTGAATGACAGTCTTAATGCTTGGGCTCCTTTCCCAGTGAGGACAGAGGATATTCAAAGATAATTTTCTTAGTGTAAGATTATAGCAAGGAAAAAAGAATTGACTTGTGCTTTATTCAAAATACACGTTTTTTTTTTTTTCGAGACATGGTCTCACTCTGTTGCCTGGTCTTTTTGTACAATGGTGTCATCATAGCTCACAATACCTTCAAACTCCTGAGCTCGAGTGATCTGCCTGCCTCAGCCTCCTAAGAAGCTAGGATTATAGGCATGCACCACCATGTCTGGATAATTTTTCTATTTTTTGTAGAGACAGGGTCTCGCTATTGCCCAGGCTAGTCTCAAACTCCTGGGCTCAAGCAATCCTTCCACCTTGGCCTCCCAAACTTGAAAATTATGGAATTTTTATTAAATATACTAATAAATTCACAAATTAAAGGAATCCTTTAAATCAGTTTGTATTTTTCTTATAGGAGTAATTTTCTTTTCTTTTTTTTTTTTTTTTGAGACACAATCTCAAGCTGTCACCCTGGGCAGAGTGCCGTGGTGTCACAGCTCACAGCAACCTCAAACTCTTGGGTTTAAGTGATTCTCTTGCCTCAGCCTCCCAAGTAGCTGGGACTACAGGTGCCCGCCCCAATGCCTGGATATTTTTCTTTCTTTTGTCTGAGACAGAGTCTCACTATGTTGCTCTTGGTAGAGTGGCGTCACAGCTCACAGCAACCTCAAACTCTTGGGCTCTAGCAATTCTTTTGCCTCAGCCTCCCAAGTAACTGGGACTACAGGCACCCGTCACAACGCCCGGCTATTCTTTGCTTGCAGTTGCCATTGTTGTTTAGTAGGCCTTCGCTGGGCTCGAACTCTCCAGCCTTGGTATATGTGGCTGGCATGCTCACTGAGCTACGTGTGCTGATCCCTGACTATTTTTGTTGTTGTTGCAGTTGTCATTGTTTTAGTTGGCCCAGGCCGGGTTCAAACCCATCAGCCTCGGTGTATGTGGCCAGTGCTCTACCCACTGAGCTACAGGCACTGCCCAGGAATAATTTTCTTATAAGAAAACATTCAGTTGATTCTGTAACAGATCTTTCTAAGCTGAGCCAGAAGAAATCTGCTAGAAGAGAAGCATATTCTAGGCAACAAGCGCTCTAATGTATTGTTGCTGGAGTGTACACTGGGGCAATTTGGTGATACATATCAAAAGCCCTAAAAAGAAGCACATTCTCAACTTTTTCATTTTCAGATATTTATCATAGGGACATATTTTAGGAGTTTAGCTATAAGGATATTATTCACAGTATTGCTTGTTGGGATATAAAACTGGAAAGAATTTAACATCATTAACAGGGAATTGGTTGAATACATTGTGATACAGTTATACAATGAAATGTTGCATGTCTCTTTAAAATAAAGAAGTAGAAATATAGCTAATATATGAAAAGATGCTCATAATTATTGTATAAAAAGGCATGTTAAAACAGTTTATATGGTATGACACATTTGCACATATATGTACGTATGTATATACACACATGTACCTGTCTGTAACTATAACCATATACATAGAAAAGTCTGGGCTCGGCGCCTATAGCTCAACCGGCTAAGGCGCCAGCCACGTACACCTAAGGTGGCGGGTTCCAATCCCCAGCCCGGACCCGCCAAACAACAATGATGGCTGCAACCAAAAAATAGCCGGGCGTTGTGGCGGGCGCCTGTGGTCCCAGCCTCTTGGG